TCCCCGTCTCCCTGGATCACGTCGATTTCGGCCGCTATCGAGAACTCGTGGGGAACCTACACTCCACAATATCGACAAGAATCTTATCGCATGAATTACTCAGGAAAATGAGGGAAAGAAGGCGAATCTCTTCTCAGCACTGAAGGACGCTAGCACCTTTATCTCTACTGGATTGTCCATGTTCTACCCAGCGATGATCTCTTGCAGCGGCATCGCATACCTTGCAACGCCATACGCTTTTTTCTTTTAACCTTAGGAGCGGCAATTGCTGATCAATCGACAGTTCACCCGTTGCTGTCGATTTTTCGACACTTCGATTTCGAATTCATTCATTTAGTTTAGTTCTTCATTTACATATTTATTTCCCTGATTGAATTTCACAATTCATAGTCCTCAATGGTTCGCGCGTCTACGTCGCGAGAATGGACCCCAGTGATGCGGAAGGCCGTAGTGTCTTAGGTCCAACCATGTCATACACTCTTGAAAAAAGGGGTGCGATTTTTCTATTAAAAAAAGAGGGTAAAATAGCTAACTCTAGTTTCACCCCCCCCCCCCCCATTTACTCTGGGAAAGGAGCGAATTTACTCTATCACCAAGGAATAAAATTGCTCTCCTCCTCCGTGAGTAAAAACGCTCCCATCAGAAAGTGATAGAGATGTCATGCAAATACAAAAATTCTCATATATAACGTGCGTCGCTTTTGCTCTCGTACAGGCGTTGACCTATCTCTGGCAGTACTGATTACAGCACAGATCAGAGGGTGGATCATCTCTTATAGGTTGCATGGAGTATCCGGGTTATCAGTCCCTTATTCCCTCAATTAATTCAGATATATGATTGAAGGAAGTTCACGAACAATTTCAATTTACTCTCGATCTCCTATGCGGATGACACTAAACGCGTTCCAAAAGGGTTCTCAATAGGAATATGAGCTTTTTTATGGCCTGGACTCCATGAATATGTCTTGAATATGTGGATAAAAAATGAAGTGTCCGTGTTTATTGATTCCTATAATGAGACTAGGCGAGAAATATGGCAAGGTACTAAACAATTCTGCAAGGGACGATTCTAGGGAAAGAGGGAAGGGAACTTTTGTGTACTGTGCGAAAAACCGAGACCCTTACCGCCATCTATGGGCCTGTCTAGGTGTTCACTTCAATACGAGCGAGGAGGGAGCATTTGGTGAGTAATAAGAGAGTAAATTCAATAAGCTCACGGTGTGCTCATTTTTTACTCCCCAAACGCTCGGAATTTTCTAAGAGTGTAGGGGCTTCCGTTGAGGATGACCAAGACGAACCAAATCCAGCATGATGAGTTCGGCTCGGGTACTTCATACTGGCTCATTCGTCGCCCAGGATAATCAGGACTGCGATAGTCACTGTGCGCCCAAGGTGACTATCGATAAGTTGGATACTGGGGCCGGGCAATCCGATATCTCTGGATGCGTCGGACCCCGTCATGCTAAATCCAGGCCTATCGGTCGGCTTGCCACCGGCCATAGCGTACTCTCGGCACGATGCCCCAAGGGCAGACCAGGAGCGGAATCGAACGGTAAATGACCTTGGCAACTGACTATGAACATCGGGACTTGGAACGTGCTAACACTCGGCAGCAAGGAACCTGAACTCGTGGAGGAGACTAGGAGGAGACGACTAGATATAGTTGGCCTGGCCTCAACCGAGAGGAAAGGCACCGGTTCCATTTCTTTAGACCACGGATGGACCCTCTACTGGAGCGGAGTCGACTCGATCGTGTTTGCTCAAGCTGGAGTAGGGATACTCATTAGTCCCCAACCGGCTGAAAGCGTCATCGAATGGAACCCAGTCAGCGAGCGTGTCGCTCTGATCCGCCTCAGACTGGAGCAAGTCAGAGCCTTGGACGTCGTTCAGGTCTACGGGCCGAACAGCGAGTCAGATTACGATGCGTTTTTTGAGGAGGTGGATGGAACCTTAGAAAGGATTCCGAACGGCGACCGCGTTGTGCTGATGGGGGACTTCAATGCACGAGTTGGGAGAGACGATGCTACATGTAGTGGTGCGATCGGTCGATTTGGGGAAGCCACGCCGAACGGGAGTAGCAGAAAGTTGCTGGACTTCTGTGCTGACAATGGCCTGACCATCACCAACACCTTCTTCCAGCACAAAGATATCCACAAATTTACCTAGCAGCAGGTTACGTTTACCTGGTTAAGTCTGTTGCCCTGCATCGTGATCACTGTAGGACGCTCCTGGGAATGCTCGAACCGCGACCCCATTTAGTTGGGAAAAAGCGGCCAAGAAAATGTATTTATGTATGTATATTTGTTTTAGTCAAACGGAGAGACATGGAAAGCTGAAACTTGACATGGACGTGGCAACTGAGACTCCGCGTTAAGGAAAAATGCCAAGATTCAGATGCATGCCCTGGGGGCATATTTCTGGGGAGTCACGTTTGAAAAAATAAAAACCTGTTTGTCCAATAACATTGAGAAGTAATGAAAAATAGAAATTTTTGGCACACCAATAGCTGAGGAGATGTTGAGTTCAGGAACAATAAAAGCTTGTGGTGCATGCCCGAAGGGCACAGTTATTGGCTGCGTCGGCTTTTCGAAAGACGGGAACCCCTGGCTCTGGTTGCTTTCTTGACGTCGCATAAATTTCAGGCAGGGAGGAATCTTCACTCGGAGGACTTCTTAGAATGTTCATCAATGTTTAGACATGGTATAAGCATTCTTCCGGTGAGAAGCTGCCACGGTAAAGAAAAAACTTGTCCTCCATCTTTCTATTCTGTTCATTCAACCTAATGCAACTTCGATGTGTTTAATCGAAAAATCTGATTTTTTTAAAAACTTTTCCTAACTTTACCAGTATATTCCCGACCTCAAAGCCGGACTCATTTTCACGAAGCATTGCTGAAATAGTTGTGATACTCCCTTCTGCTATGCTCGGGTCTTGCAATCGGGACCCGATTGTAAAACAAGTGCATTTTTCAGCATGGGTTACCCCATCTTGGACCTTATTGGAACAAGCTGCCAGAGCGCTTGCCCCTCAGAAATGTAGTGAGAAATAATATTTATTGATGGCATAAATGTATTGATTTTATCAATACAGGGAAAGGAAGTTCACTTCCTTCTAGGACAGGATTTTCATTTCTGTTTTTCTGACATTTATAACATCCTGTTTTTGCTTGGAGTCTCGCCTTTGAAAGAATCATCATAGAGTATAGAGTATAATTAGAGGCAACACTCCGAGAGTCAAGGAGGTGTGGAAATATCACAGAAACCTGGTGGCTCATCAGCAATCCCTCTGTGAGGCGTTCTTTGTGGAAGCGGAATCAGGAAACGACTCCTTCGTGAATCCTACTCAAAGGGAGTCCCTCAACGTGACACGCATTTCTTATGAGTCCACAACCTGGCCAAGGGGTTATTGAAGTAGGCACGCTAGGTGGAGGATCGACTGTGACATCTATATTCCCACTTGATCAATGAGTGGGATTCAAGCAGAATGTCGCCCCTACTTGAGAAATTCTCCCTAAAAGGGCGTTGTGACGCACGATTCAAGAACGGGAAAATGGAAATGCTGCCTTGTCCTTCAACAGTCTCTGAATGAACGGCAAAGGTGAAAAAGGTTCACTTGCTAAACATTGTTATTTAATATACAGGGTGTTGCATCATAGTTACCCCTCTCCTAGAGCATACGCCACAGAAAGCGGAACAACTTCGTAAATATTGTAAGAAAGAGCAATATTAGGTAATGTTATTTAGATGTTTTCAATTTGATTTTTAAGTGGCGTCATAAGTGACAGTTTTCCATTACTTTTCATACTTCGAATGTGTTTTGGAAAATTGCTAAAGAGGATGATTCTGCATGAAAAAATGAATTGCGATAAATAGAACATAGATGGAAGTTGAGTGAAACGGAACTTGAGCAAGATCTTAACGTTGATTCTTGGTTTTCTAAAATAGCATGAATGCATCAGGACAGAAAGTTCGATTTCTAGAGGAAACGGGAAAATGACTTCCTTGGATTTGAAGAATGGCCGGGGAACTCATCTGATCATAATGTTTGTGAGCATATGGAGTCAATTGTGATAGATCAATTGATGGAAATGATGCATGAAGAACGAAATAATAAATTTTCCATGGATATTGTTAGTGAAAAATCGAAATGGTATTTCACACCTTAAAATGTGATATTGCTTTGTTCCAGATTCTGCTGACATTTTTGGCTCAAAGAATCATGCCATTTTTTTACAGCACATGCTGACAACATATAATCTAAATTCCGCCCATAATATTGCATGATAAGAAATCAAGTGCAACTTTAGATCAAGAGCGAGTTTTGCCTGGAGGTATGGGGGCCAGGTATTTTGCACCACCCTTTATATCTGCTCTCTGACGATCCAACATTATTGAGAGAGAATCAAGCTAACTTAAGGTAGGCTTTGATTGTCTGCTTAAGGAATGGGGGAAAAAAGTGTCCATTCCTACAAACTTCCGCCAGTCCAAAAGGAAACAGTACATGTGAGGTTCTTTTGACCACATGAGTTATTAGGCTTTTTTTTTAATTGGTAAAAGTTTAGCACCACCTCCTGAGCACCTCTTCATGCGAGGAAACACGAGAATCCACTTTGAACTAGTCACGTTGCTGTGGAGAACAAAAGGTCTTGCATTCCACGGCTTCCAGTCAAAATTGCCTTCTGCAAAAATTGAAAAATCAAGATTCATACAAGTACCAGTAGTTTCAGTCTGAATTTCAAGGTCATTCATATATAGCATCAAAATTGTCATTCACCGAACTGTCCTGCGATTCGGCTCGGATGAGACATGACAGATCGATCCCAAAATACATGGAGTCAATTCGTTATGCATCACAGACATGAAATGCAGTAACGCGCAGAGAGGAGAGCAATGGAAAGGTCCTCTATGGATAGTTTCTAGGTCCAGTGACATTTAACTTGAAGTGAATATATTGGCTAGCAAACGCCTTACAAAAATATTATTCAAAGCCTAATAATATGTTTCATGTATTTGCGTTCTTTCCAAAGACAGAGCTGAAGAAAGCCTTGAGTGTTTCCACCATGCTGCTTGGCTGGTCGATTGCAACATCCGGAGTTTCCACGACACCTAGTGTATTGTAATCTATATTCTCTTTCTCCAGTATTGTCATGACGTCAGGCATAATGGCTTCAGCCGAGCCATTCTCATCTAAGATCTTCTTGCATATAACTGATGCTCTCTTCGCTTGCTCCAAGTGCTCGATCCGCTTCTTAAACCCACTTTGGGCGTCCTTTTTTTCAGCTTCGATCAGAAAATCAATGTATTCCTCCAGGGTCAAGGGATTCGAGTTGAGAGCGATTATTTTCAGGCGGGCCGTGGTCTTATGCGCCTGCTGGATATGAGCGAACAGCTCAACTTGGCTTTTCCTAATGTCATTGGTAAGTTCCTTCACTTTCTGCTCGAGACGCACGTTGGTCCTAATCTGCTGGGTAGCACTTGCTGAGTTCACTCGAGTCCTATGCCTGAATATCGACTTTTTTTCGAAGCGTTTGGCTTCCAGAGAGTGACTCTTCCAGGAGCAACGGCATTCCCGGCATATCATCCTCAGCTTCTCGTTCCGCATCATGCAGGAGCTGTACTTGAGGTCCCTTGGATTGGAAATGGATGCTGGGAATTCGCAGGTGGTCTTCTTGCAATCTAAGCAGTTGATCGCCGTCTCATTGTCTAGTAAAGTTTTCACTCGTTCCTCCGCGACGTCCGCGACCTTTGTCACCTCCTCTCTATTTTCTCTGAGGATTTTGCATTGATGCTGAAGATCAGTCAGTTTGAATGAAACTGTAAAGACAAAGAATATAATTTCAACTGCTGAAGAAGGATGCAAGCTTAAAAGCAGAACACAGTATCCATAAGAGAGTCCACTTTGAGTGCGCCATCATATAAATCGTACTAAGTGATGGGTGGTACGAAGAGTGAAAGGGTAGAGGAGGGAAATACCAGAAAATGCCTGAATATATTATGCATGAAGTGGCTCTCGTGAAGGAGAAACTAGCATGCAATCAGTCGTCCTATTCCTTCACAGCCCACGATTATCTAATATTTAAAGTTACTGGATGAATATTGCGTACAAAACATGTAGTGTATGCTCAACGCATTTTTGACATGAAGCAAAATACATTGTACAGATCATTTAAAATAAACTCCTCAGTTCATACGGAATTCTCTCACCTTTTGGGATTTGCTCCTGCAATATTTTCAGGTTCCCAGCTAGAGATCGTCTTTCAGCAAGCACCTCTTTCGTCAAGGCGAGACCAACAGGTGTCATATCGGCCAAGGATTTCAGGAAGTCATCGTTGCTTCGGATTCCAATCTCCCAGAACATCTTCTGCATGATATCAGTATTGCTAGCGAACAAGGCGGAGTTGTTGAAGGTGTGATAATCCTGGTAGTTCAGCTTCGCATTGTTTACGACGACGATAGCCGTCGGTTCCTGCCCGTCGGCGAAGCTGATCAGTAGCACAAACTTCTCTTTGGTGTCGATGGCAAACAATTGAGTGATAGCGTGAAAGGTATACTTCTGCGCGGCCGTCAGCCTCGAAGTGGAAGCGGGCAGCACAATTCCGATGGCGTTCACGAAGTTCAAACCATGTGAACCACATTGCTCAAAGAACTCCAGCATCTGTTAGAGAAAACAACTTCACTAGGTGCATCTGCAAAGCACATTTTGTATAGATGTTTTGCGTGGATATGGAAGTGATACAAAATTAATTTGCGCTTAGGAATGAAATAGCTAGTAATGAAAAATTATTTCAGGAGAAAGAAAATCGAGAGGGAGGAATTAGTCATAGTCAAAGCCTCTCTGCTTCTAATAATAGGATCCCCCCCCCCCCATCACAGTCAAGGCAGTATGAAACTCCTTTTTTCTGGGCAACTACTAATCATATGGCTGGAAAAGGAGATAGACCTTTTCAACAAGCTCCTCGTCCTTGTGGAGGCCCTCGGAGTCTCCGAAACCAGGGGTATCAATGACCGTCAGCGTGTAAGGGATCCTCATCCCCTCCCTCCAGTTAAAGGAATAAGCAGAGATCTCTTTCGTCTGGCTGTAGGCCCTGTTAGAGTGGTCAATGTCCCCCTTCTCGGTGATTAGCTTGAACCGGAAGTCGTCCTCCCACTGTACTCCATACACGTAGTTTGCCAGCCCGTTGATCATCGTTGTCTTTCCTGAGTGGTGCGAAATTTGATGAGAGAGGTTAACGCTTGTAGATGAAAGCTACCCCCAAAGGTGAGTAGGATTTGAAGTTTTGGATGTGTTCTGAAAAAAAGTAGGAAAACTGCGAGGGACAGTGAAGCTCTCTTTCAAGGTACCTTCGTATCTCACGAAAGAAGGTGCCCGTTCTTTGGTTAATGAGAATCGATCTTTCTGACATGTCATGCTGCAATGGCGATATTTAAGAAATCTCATGATTCTCCCCTGGGAAAGGATCAAAATTGCACTGTGAAGGAAATCCAGTACGAAGAATCTTACCGATAATATTGAGATTTCGGACCCTAACCCGAATTCGACTCAGCATGTCATTTAAAAAGGGTACCTTTTTCTAAACTTGAAAAAAACTTTTATCCAAGTCTGAGTCGTTTGGAAGTCAAGTCATTATATTTGCTAAAATCCGAGAATCTGTTCAAGTTTCTCGCTTGATATGATACTGCTATATGAAATCACGAAAAGGAGTCAATTTTCATTTTGCCTCTAAATCTGCATGTTTTGGGGAAAAAAAGTAACTAGTTCCTGCTCTATTCCACTTTTTGCAAAGGCAGAGTGCCTTGCTTAATCTATTCTTTAGTGTCTGAAGCAGTTAATGAAGACAATAACAGGAACTAGTTTCCTAGGCTATCCGAACCTAACCAACCTTCATAAGTATTGCTCATGTCTGTATAAGTACAGAACTTTATGAGTTATTGAAGGAGGCTCTTTATAATGGTTATGGTATGTTTTATCGCAATAGCCTGGTTAGCTGCAGCAGAACCATTCTCCCTTCCAGCTGCACATTGGAAATCTTTCTTCCCTGACTTCTTCGGCAATTCCTTTATTTCCATTGCAGTACTATAGACGGAATCTGCCATATGCCAATGGGAGAGTCCAGTCTTTCCGCAAGTAATATTACAATTGGAAAATGTATTCTCAGAGATATGATTGAAGTGAGCTTTCCAGGAAAGCTGACACATTTTAGGCCTTTTTTCTGGATTTTAAGTCGAGATATACCTGCACCGGTGGCTCCAACGATCACGAGGACCCTCTCGTCCTGTTGCATTTGGAGCCGTGGCCCGATGTCGAATTTTCTTATTCCCTTAACCTCATTGTTCACCACTATGAATTTCCAGAGCTGGTAGATGGCCGGTCTCCCGTTGACCCCAGCCTGGATCAGATCAGCCGAGTACTTCATTTTTTCAGCCAGGGTCACCACTGGCATACTAGGGGCCTGCCGCTTCTTTCCAGGATTCGGTGGGATATTCTTCCTTCTTCCAACACCTAGCGGAATTTCCTTCTTTTCTGTCTTATTTGCAGCATTTGCCACTGATTTGCTTGAACTGCGGTTGCTTCCTTTCTTGTCTTCCATCTTTTTCTCATCCTCGTACTTCGCCTTGTCCTCCGCTTCTTCGTTTAACTCGCCCTTGGTTTCATTCTCTCCTTCGTCATCTCCCTTTTGCTCATCCGGTTTCTTCGCCTAAAGGAAATTCCACGGGAAAGGGACGTCATGGGAAATTATTTGCGATGTTAATATTTCAAGTCTAATTAGCCACAGAATGCTTAAACGGTCTGCCAGTGACGCTTCCCGATTTCAGGAACCCTGTTTTGGTTGCACAATTGTTGTACGTCTTAAAAAAAACACACACACATATCAAGGCCACATGGCTGTTAGGCAGCATACGAGGCTTGTATGAAAAGTCATGCGTGTTCTGCAATAAAAATTTGCATATTGCGCGCACGCGAAAAATTCCTACAAATTCTGAAAGCCCCATCAAAGAGGAACGCAACGATGTATAACATAGGCTGGTTGCTAATATGCAAATGTAACAGTCGTGGGAGAAACAGAGGCAGGTAGCGGCAGTTTCCCGATGAGTACTTTTAAAAGGAAAAGAATGCTTCATAAGTTGAGAAATGGAGCAGAGAAATGCCATTTTGTTTTCGTTTCGACGGGGAAATTCGGCTCTCCAGACACACGGTGAGATCCGAGTTGCTTACGGCGAGGATGCGCTCACTGTGTCGCAGGTCCGGCGGTGGTTCCAACGCTTCCGAAACGGCGACTTCGATCTTTCCGATCGACGGCGTTCTGGGCGTCCGAAGGCAGCGAGAACGAGCGGTAACATTCAACGCGTTCGGAAATTGATAACAGCGGACCGTCGACTAACGGTTCGCGAGGTCGCCGACGAGATTTCGACCTCTGCCGAATTTCTGCCATCGGGAGCGACGGTGAACAAGTCTGTTTACCTGGGCGTGCTCCGCCGTCTCAGAGAAAAGGTTCGCTTGAACAGAGTGAGGGTGGGCAAAACGCAGAATTGGGGAGGCAACGGCTGGATTCTCCACCACGACAATGCCCCCGCACATTCAGCAAACGTCGTGAAGCAGTGGTTGGCGAAGATGGGTACCGAGGTGTTGCGCCAGGCGTCCAACTCTCCTGATCTGGCTCCTGCGGATTTCTGGTTGTTCACCCTCCTCAAGAGACATTTGAAAGGCAAGCGATTCGACAGCGTGGAGGAAATCAAGCGCAACGTCGAACAGGTGCTGAAGTCGATTCCGGTCAGCGCGTTCCGGAAGGCGATAGTTGAGTCCTGGCCGACTAGATGGGCAAAGTGTGTGGCCGCCGACGGCGAGTACTTTGAGGGCGATTGAGACGGCTTTCACATGTCCGATTTTTTTTTTAAGAAAATAAAAAGAATTTCTTGGAAATCGGGAAATGTGATTTACATGCCTCTGTGTAACAATTTTTTTCCGGTGATTCGGGAGGGTTTGGAACACATTCCGCATATCGTTGTGTTCCTATTTGACGGGGCTTTCAGAATTCGTAGGAATTTTTCGCGTGCGCGCAATATGCAAATTTTTATTGCGGAACACGCATGACTTTTCATACAAGCCTCGTATGTTTTACAAGCTCTATGCAGCCCAATTCAGTCAATTATGTTTTCTTTATATTGTCAATTATATTGGATTATGTTTTCTGAGACTCCATTGAAGTGCCTTCTTAATTCGGAATGATTCAGACCTGATTGACATTGTAAGATTTAATAGAAAGAGAGTTACTGCAAATTGCCCCTTCCATTGTAGATTTCGCGTTCTTTTAATTTGTCCAACACTGATTAGCACATTGGCACTGCATCTTGTAAACTTATTTAACCAGGAGCAACTCACGAGGAAAAGACTTATGAGTGCAATTGTGAAACACTTGTCCTGATTTTTTATTATTGAAAGACAATGATACAAAATACATAAGAGATACTAGAGACAAGTCCGTTTCCTCCAAGTAAGATTAGTAGAAAATAATGGAAATGGAGACCGTACAAGTTATGTTATACCTGTTATGTATGTCAACACGGAATGGTTTTTAATTTCGTTTAAAATTGTATCATAAATTCTAACGAGCATTTCATACTATTTTTTATCTTCGTCAAAAATTATTATTGGTCTATCGTTGGGCCAAAGCTGGGTAAGCTGATTCACTTTCGGAGAATCATTAATTTAAAAAATAAAAAAACAATGTTGCTGAGAAGGTTCCGAATACTAGCGCGAGACGGCTGGCGAGATGGCATGATGGAGTCACTTCCCGGATTCTACTGAAAAGAGTGCCCTGTCACTTTGACACAGTTGTCTACGATTTTTCTCATAGATCGCAGAGGAAGACAATAGAATACCTAAAAACATTTATCTGAAGATTTAATCAAGCTCTGAGTTAAAACCAGGAAATTCCGGCTCAGAGTTCCATGGTAGAATCCATCAACTCTCCGCGATGAGCTACGCGACATTTGTTCTCAACTTGAAGGCATTGTAGATAACATTTCTGCATCGTTATTCATCCATCCATCACATTGCGATAAGGCATTCCACATTTCGTATAGCCCAGGTTCCAGGTCATTGGCTAGGCGCATTTCGTGGTTCGTTCACATAGCTGCTAGATCTGCAAGCCTTTACATCGCTGGGTCACTGGCTGGGCATGATAGGTTAACCTTGTTAACGCCACATGTCTGTTCCATAGGCTTAGCTATAAAGATTTCCCATCATGCAATTGCAAAACCGATATTTATTAATAAAATATGAGACATGCTCAGGGATTGTTGCTCAATCAGGATTCACATCGCTGTAATTTTAGTCTTATCTTCCATTTGGGAATTTGGCAAATTCAAAAGTAAAAAAAATTCGCATGCGCGAAAAGGCAAGGAACAAAACGAATAATATATCAATGAAAAGAGCTGAAACTGCGCTTTCGTTTGACACTAGTTTCAAGTTTGGATCACGGTTGAAGCAAAATGTACGAACCGCGAAGTTGGTGAAAATAGACAATAGTGGACTTCCCTAATTCAATTTTAAGTTGTTTCGAACAACGTAGGAAGTTGAAATTAAGTTCTGAAATTGCTATTGCTTTAGTCGACAATGTATCAAAAACTCATTATGTTGCCATGCATCCTAAAGCTCAAAATTTGCGTTTGCATAGTTTTTGAAATTGCAAGTAGCTCAAATTTTAATGAACGTTGTAGATAATGCATTTAATAATGCGATTCTACATTGTCTCAGCTTTAATCGGAGTCCAGAAACGCTTCTCTAGTTCTACTAGAATCATTCACAAAGGTCACTTTTCCTCTTCAGGGCTAAGTTTGGGACCGCATATCTAAAAAGAAACTGTTAGAGCCAGAGAGTGAAATTGTGGGCTCTTCCATAAGTCACCGGTGGCAAAATGCAATAATTTTCCTTACACATATACACTTTAAACCGTACTATTAACATGCTAGAATTTTTTTATATTATTGGCTAGACGACAATTATAGAACTACTATGTCAAGTAAGCCTGAAATTTTAAATACATTTAGTGTTTTTCATCTAAATCGAACTAGAGAAGCGATACAAATCCAATGAAACTTCGCATTTGAAGTTAATGTTTCATTGGTGCAGAAGATTAGTCCTCGTGCTCCCATGATTTAAATCCAATGGACTATAGTATCTGGTCCTTTCTGGAGATAAAAAGTTTCGCTGTGAGAAACCGTGGAAAATTTTCCAAAACGCATCAGAAAATGTATTGCTGCTAATGGGGGCTATTTATACTTACCTCATTTTGAAGAATTTTTATTCTCTTTTTAATGAAATAAAGAAAAGTTTTCTTGCTCTTCATTCCATCATTATATTGGAATTTTTTAATGTCTCAGAACTTTCCGGTCACACTGTAGATCTCAGAGAAAGACAATTAAGTTATTTGAAACATTTATCCCAAGATACAGCATAGCCCTGAAATAAACCAAGGAATTCCGGCCCGGAGGTCCGTTGGAGGATCATTCTACTATCCACGATAAGCTATATGACCTGTTTCCTCTATTGATAGACATTGACTTTTATTATGTGTATGCCTGGCCACCCACAGGAGAGCAGACTCGCTTGCATTCCTAGGTGATTCCGCTCATGGATACCGTTGCATCCGGAATGGATGTAGGTTGGAACTTCTAAGCTCTTGGCGAAAGGAGTTTACTTGTGTAAGGCATATTGGTAAGGTACTGCTCCTTCATTTCCCCTAGATGAAGGTGTAATAGGGGGCCAAAGGATGCGTAATGCTGTAGAAATAGTTCATGTGGGGGTTTTTTTCTCTATCTTTTCACCATAGTGAAAAGTCGGCAATTGGCTGAGGCGTGTGCGGCTTCCCAACAATGAGCCAAAGTGCGCCTAATGAGAGACCAACAGGATATGCCCGACCACGGGTCGGCTTAAATCAACCAACCATAACTTAGGCTCATCTATGGGTCAAACAAAAAGCCATCGATGACCTCATGAAAATACTTTGACTTGTGATCAGGCCAACCTCACCGACCCTCCTCGATCTCTCGATGTGCAGCAGCAGCGTCCCCTGATGGTGCAACCGACTCACGTCCACCACATCGACAAACTCTTTCCTCCATTCGTCATAGATCTGAAGACGGATGGGCTTGCTCTCGGGAAGGTTCAGGTCCTGGTACAGTTGCGACAGCAGGTCGCGTCTGTGCTTGGGGCACACCACGATACTTCTGCTCTGACGGCCGCGATCGATCACTTGCACTTGGTACTTGCACGTTTTCCCCTTCTTCGACTGCACGTTCCCACCATCAACTC